GTTCTGTTCTATTGTTTTATGACCTTACAGTTCTAGCAAAAGAAGAAGTTTACTTACTGAATATACTGACATTTTTTTTCTTGCTAAGAATGTCATTCACCTACTAGGTATACTAACCACTTATACATCACGAAAAGCACTACCAGCTTGGTAAGTCAGGGTAGTAAAATGCACGTTCGTGAAACTCGCTACTATGGTTCGTCAGCGAATAGCACTAACTCGAATGATTGGTCTTTTACTAAGTTGTTGCCAATGGCAGTAGCAACACTGAAGCCATGCAGAATCGTGCGAATTACAATTAAACAGCTAAGTGTTTCTGCCCATTTTGCTTATATGTGACGTGTTTATTGCCATGTTACATTTATTCTATTACACTAGCTTGCGTATTAAAAAACACGAAAGCATGGCATATTCCTGGTACACCAAATAATAACGGCTGATTACCTGAAGTAATTACCGTGATGAGTACACATCACACCAACGTACATAGAGGCATGAACGGACCGCAAGCGAGAGTTAGATCCTGAGCGACCATTCGGGTTGAATAAAATACTAGGTCCATGGCCATCCAAAACAAACGGCAAAGCAGTGAAGGTGCTGCAACAGTTCTTCGAAGAAACGAAGATTTGTGATGAATACTGAGTGGACAAAAGTTAAAAGTGAGCGTGTCGTCTATGTGTTTGTTCTGCCCATATAGGAGAACTTTTGCTCTCACCCATGTAGGACTGTATATATGTATGCATGCTATTGATTTTTTTCTTTTGTTTTCATATTTTTATTTGTACCAATTAAGTGGAAAGGGGTAGCCGTCACCAAGTAGTAGTGACAAAAACTCCTTCGTTTATTTTCTATTTCAATAAAAAAGAGAGAACACACGCGTACACGCAGAATCATCAAGACGTGTGTCATGCAATTTAACAGATGTTCGACGGTGCTTTAAGACCTCTACTTCGCTATAACACCCATCTTACCGGTTAGCAGCCATAGAAACTTTAAGAATAATAGATGTTCTCTGTCCAGTATCGTGTGGTCTATCACTGTCCGTGTGTGTATGATCGCGTAGCACAAAAGTGTTATTGCAACATGATCAATATAATTGAAGTTTGTCTAAATGTTTCACAAGACTATTCCAATTACGACATAATACAAGCGGTATCTACTAAGCATCTGGCGACATTGGTGGGTCACTAGTTAGCTAGTTGAGACCACTGACAGAGCCTCCCAGTTTAGTAACAGCAATATTTAGAAGGTTTACTAGCTGCTGGGTAGTAGGAACAAGAGGGAAATTCAGTAAAGTACGTTCGAAGCTGATAAACAGAAGTGGTTACTATTTTTTTATTGTGCGTTACAAAAAGTCTCACCTCCTGATGACGTTACGAGTGAAAACACAGCTTAGCGTTGCCATTGCTAGACGTGTTTCACTGATCTTCTTTCAGTGAGTCTCTGTTTATGATTTTCTCTCACTGATTTGATCTGCGAAATGGTTGTTAGGCGCACATCTCTAAAGTATGTCTCCAGGGAAATACGCAAATATGGTGGCTTATAGTGATTGAAAATGATGTTCTACAAATCGGGCTTGTCGCGGGTGCACATAAGTATTCGACTGTGTGATGTTTTCCACGTATGATCATATTTCTCGGTGAAATCTGTATCGGAGCAAATTTGCATATTTGATTCCTATGGAGGTGCTCACAATTGGTCTACCGCATTTGCTAATATGTCCAATACTGTAAAATTGGCTTGTACGCACTATCAACTCTTCCTAGTAGTTAAAGTGTAAGATTTTTTTTTTGCAGGTACGGACTATAAGCACGAACTCACAAGAACATTTTTTTTTGCGTAATAGATTTTTATCGATAACCTTGGTGAGCTGAATGTCCAGCATCATGTTTTTTTATTTTTTTCATTACAAGCATTTCTGTACACCAGAGCTTTTTCCGAGACAGAAAAAGTTTGGTCAAATATAAAAAAAATATTATTTCATCATTGCCCTTTAACAATGGCTGCTGCTTTCACTGATCATGCATCCTCGATCAGGATCGATTGAGGCTTTCTCACAAGAACAATTACATTCTGATTGATTTTAGAGAACACGAGCACCTATCTTTATTTCTTTTAAAAAAGTGGTATGTTTATGTCATATAGCTTTGCTAGAAAACTACATAGTTTCAAGGTGTAAATGTAGGCTTGAAAATTAATGAAGAATGACAAACGTAACATTGAAAGACAGGAAAAAAGAATGAATGAGAGAACCAACAGGGGGCAGCTGGTTACAGTATCGACATTAATAGAAAAAATACACACGGGCCTGTCACGTTATGCATAGGACTGATAACCGACGCCAGTGGGATCCATAGAATGAACATCAATGGAGGACAAATGCGCTCGTGGCCAGCAGTGAGCTAGTAGGGTTTATGAAATTAGTTCGCAAGAATAATTCAAAATCTCCTCACTGAGTACAGAGCAGATATGTAATAATTGGCGAGGTTTTTTTTCAGCAGTAGAAAAAGAGCAGGTTAATAGTGGTGATAATGCGCGTGCGGCCGTACGACATAGATTCATTTATATTTAGTATTGTGTCATGCCTTATGATGAACAAAATAAACGAGAAGCATAGAATGGCTACATCATGTGCAGCTCTCTCTATAGTTAAAGCGCCTAACTCATTCTTGAATGCTTATTTGCGGTTGTCTTAACGTCTATAAACGCTGAGGTGACATGCCTTGATAGGTTAGCACTTACGTATATGTCGGCAAACTCACTCATGAATCGACTGACTCAGACTCACTCAAACTCACCCAGACTCAAATCAAGCCGTCAGCCTGAGTCTGGACGAGTCCTGATGAGTAACGTAGGTTGAGTCTGAGTGAGAACGATAGAGAAAAAAATTCAGTAAGGCTTAGTACGAGCTAGTCCAGTTGAGGAAAACTTTGATGAATGTGAGTCCGAGTAAGCTCTAAGGGTGGCGGACGTTTACAGAGTGAGTCTGAGTGAGTTCCACACTGTTTCGATGAACTCTCATCCTATCTACTCAGCTTCAGCATTGCTATCACCCTTATGTCGGCTCCTGTTTATGTTAATTATGTCTACTCACACATCAATGCAGTTGCGTTCAAGCGCAAATAAATATGAATGCAACAGATGCATGAGTTATGGATGGGAAAAAGTTTCTCGACACCCCCCCCCCCTCCAATTTTCTTTAATATAAGGCTTTGTAAAAAACACCTGATGTGAGTCATTACTTTCTATAGAAATTGTAGGAAATATCAAACACTGACAGCCCCTATTTAAAGATACGAGACTGAAAGTGGCAAGTAGAGCACTGATTATGCGAGATTGAAAAGCATTCACACCCCTGCACGAAACAGCTAATAGTCCGCTAAAGGACTCATGAGTCGACTAACTCAGACTCAGAGCGGTGAGCTTTAGTCTGAGTGAGTCCAAGTGAGTAATATTTTGCTGAGTTTGAGTGCGAGTGAGTCCGGTTGACCAAATCGAAAGTGAGTCTTGGTTCTAGTGAGTCTGGTTGCGGAAAACATTGGTGAGGGCGAGTCTGAGTGAGCCCTTAGGGCGAGGTATATTTCCCGAGTGAGTGAGGGAGCTCTGGATTGTTTGCCAACTTATGAGCCCATTAGAGCTCGAGGGCATGTGCTTATTTCCAGTCCATGCGGCCAAATTTTGATGCAGCGAAACGATAAGAACGTCCGCGTGCTTAGATTTAGGTGCATATAAAGGAACCACCGGTTACTGAAATTAGTCCATGTAGCCCCCTGCGGCGCGCCTCTTAATAATTTAGGGGTTTTGGCATGTAAAAGTCTGGCAATTATTATTAAAAGTAGGTATAAAAGAGAGGTATACGCGAATTCATACTATGACACTTTTTAAAAGATGCAATTACTACAAGCAATCAACTTTGTTAGTACTATAGCCTAGTTTTCATTATTGTGCTGCAGGTATGATGTTCTATTATTAGAAATAAAATAAAAAAGAGAGGCAGAGAGGTTCCAGAAGTTAGAACAACCGGTTTGCTACCCTGCACTAAGGCAAAGGGGAATGGGGAAGAAAGATGAGAGAGAAAGCGAATAGCAAAATAGACGCACTAAAAAGGAAAAAAAATTAAGCAGAGAGGCTATAGCCTATTCAATTGGCCACTGCCACGCAAACAGTTCAATAACGCCTGCACTTATTTTCTCTGCAGAGACAGATCATGTCGGCTTTCGAGCACTGACTGTTCTGACAAAGGTCTGTCATCAAAGCGGTCTAACGCAGCAGCTAGCTGCCGTCTGTGCATGCTATAACGAGAGCAGTGACAGAGAATGTGCTCTATCATTTCATCGCTGCTGCAAAGATCGCAAGCAGCACTGTCTTCCATGCCGATTCAGAAGGTGAGAACTTTGGTGAAAGTGCCACCAAGCCACAGTTGGCAAAACACCGTTATCTCAGGTCCAGGGAGTCCGGATGGAGACCGAAGTCGACGAGACGAGTCCAGCCTATGCAGTCGCGTGTGCCATAAGCACTCTTTTTTCCACAGGAATCTTACATCTTCATTAGAAATTTCTCGCATTTTCATTGCAGCATCAGTCTTTGAGAATGAAATAGATTCTTAAGATCATCTTCGTGTGCTGATCGAGCAGCTGCATCGGCATGTTCGTTGCCCAATATGCCGCAGTGACTTGGAAGCCACTAAAATGTGATTTTATGTCATTCGTCGAACAGTTGGTGGAGCAGCTCTCTAATTTCAAGCACCAGTTGTTCATGAGGTTCCCGGCGTTAAGGCGAATGCCAAACACTATAGTGCTGCCTTAGAATGCGTGAAAACGCTCCATTTCTTGGCTTGTTGATGTTGAATGACTTTAACTGTGCTAAGTAGATCAGTCTATTATTTAAAATTTAACACAGACATACGGGCTGATTACTCGAATTAAAACGCACAGCTTTCCCAGGCCATCATTTAGAAGAACAAAAGAACTGTTGGATTAGAAAGTGTACAAAGTCAAAAGTTTGTTTTCAGTATTTTATTCAACTCATAATAAATCCACACTTCTCTGTACAAGCAGCGCCGTGGAAGAAATCAGCGGAGTAGGCTAAAATAATCTTGGCACATGACAAGTAAGCCCGAATGACCTCCCGCTATATTTTTCATGCGAGGCAAGCTGCAGGTTTCATGTGGCGGAACTCAGTCTGTTGACATGGTGAATCAACAATAACGAACAACAACGAAAACAACAACACAATGACCAATCCACGTTCGATGTGCCGGGGAGGTCTGGTCCGCTCCGTCTTCATTGGTGGCCTCTGCTACCACTACCACGTGGTTAACGTTGTGGCCGGAATGGGTGTCAAATCGTGAACTGCTCTTGATTTCTAGAATGTGAAAAAAAGAAGAAAAATTAACATTTGGGGTAGATGTTGGCACCTGAAGCTGAACAGCGATTCAAGTTTGGTTCTTTTTATTTTAAACTAAATTTCAAACACAATCAAATTTATCCTAGTCAAAAGGGCAATATAACAACAAAATCTTGCAACTTTCTGCCTGGTTACAGTTTTCTCAGCACAGTGCGATTCATAGAACTTGTTGTTCGATACTATAACCATGTAAGTCTGAAACAATGGTAGTTCTTTAATAAAACGATACAATTGGAAATTGTTAACAATGAAAGAAAGATGGCTGGGCTGGGTGTTTGTTTGCTATACCTACCTGTGATGCCCGCTTAAATCGAAATAACATTGCTTGCTTATAAGTTTTTGCATTTGACGCAGTGGTGCTCTTTTTGCTGTGTTATTTGCGTGCAACACCAAAAATTAATGTGGAGCTTTTGTAAAATTGCCGCCAAAGTCATAAAATAACCTGCTGTTTCTTTGCAAAGTGTATGTTGTTTCAAGGTCGGAAAGTTGTCTAATAGCTGGTGTCGGAACTTCAATGCAAGTATGTAACGAGCTGAGCTCACCAAAGCGTTTTCAATTAAACCAAGATAGTATATACTTATTTACAAAATTTAGTATTAATTCATCGTCAAAAAGATTCGGCCGCTCATAAAAATTATACGGGTGACTTCCTGGCTTCCACTTTATCCGCAATGACATATTAGCTTCATCGGGTTTCAGGGAAACCGATGATACAACACTTTCAAGTTCTAAGTTGGGCCCGGGTTAAACTTCAGGTGTTTTAATCCAGAAATGGGCTCCGTCGTGATATTGACATTTAGTCAGAACACCAGGTACTCTTATGAGTGCGAGCAAACTTCTAAACGCTGTCTTACCGCTTAGTTCCAGCCACCATGGTGACCACCGCCACCGTATCCACCGCCGCCGTATCCGCCACCGCCATATCCACCACTGCCATAGCTGGCTCCTCCGATACCACCCAGTCCGCCGTATCCACCGTATCCACCGCCGAGGCCACCGCTTCCTCCTCCTCCCTTGATGATGATCACCTTGGCAGCACCACCAGATCCGCCGCTGTAGCCACCGCCTCCGAATCCACCGAGGCCGCCGCTGTATCCGCCACCACTGTAGCCGCCATATCCACCGCCACTGTATCCTCCACCGCCGTAGCCTCCGCCGCCGTAACCCCCACCTCCGTAACCTCCGAGGCCGCCACCGTACCCGCCGCCGAGACCTCCACCGTAGCCGCCACCGCCGTGCGTTCTGCTCACGGTGCGCACAAGGTACGTGGACGTGTGGCCGACTCCGCCACCAAGACCTCCGCCGCCGTAGCCACCGCCACCATAGCCACCGCCTCCATAGCCGCCTCCTCCGTAGCCGCCACCTCCGTGGTGTCCACCTCCGTAACCTCCACCGAGGCCGCCGCCACCATATCCACCTCCGCCGAATCCACCGCCACCGTATCCGCCACCTCCAAAACCTCCACCTCCACCGAGGAAGCCAGCTTTAACGGCGTTGACTAGCAAGAGGCCGCAAACGAGAGCCTGCATCGAGAAGAAATATTTCACTTCAGCGCACTGAGGTGCTCTAAAGCATGTTGTCGGTCCTGTGAGGCATACATAACAATAGGTGGGCATCGAGTACTTAACGATACTTCTGAGCAGAGACATTTTGCATAGTTAAAGCAGGATAGGGCAATCATGTTTCTTTCATATACATAATATCATTTCTTTTATTTATGTTCGTTATTGCAGTTATAGGAGAAGCAGAGCAGGTACAAGAACTGCCGAAAGGTGAGCAGAATTGTCGAGCCCTTTTTGAGACTCAGCTAGCTATCGTTATGCTATGCACCTCCACACTTCCACACTTTTATAGAACCTCTTAGTAATTAATATGAAATGCAAGTGCATTTGGCGCATTGATCATTAACAAAGGCTAAGAGGAGCTTGTAACAATCAGCAACACACGTGGTCAGATATGTGCTGCTTATTGTGTACAATTTGCTCCTGAAAAAGTCTACATTCTCATTATTTGTGACATGTGTCTTCCGGCTACATTTTTCGATGATTTGTAATATTAACATACCTATATATTATAATACGTGAACTAATCTCTCGTCCTCATTTCTCATCCCTGTTTTAGAGAACAACACTCGTGAAAACAGATGTATCAACCGATGTTGTATGGCAGGGACATGAAAATAATAATAAAAAATAATCTGACTCTTTGAAGCTTTTGACCCCGAGTTCAGATATTTTGATTTTCACGAAATTAAACACGCAAATAATCAATTTGTCTCCTGTAAACAGCACATTATACTGTGTTAGAACAGTGACCTTCTTAAGCAACTCTTATTATGGCAACAATAAAAATCCGCTATCATTTACGATAAACCTGTCAAAGATTGAGGCTGGACCTTTTTAACATTTCTGAGCTTTTGTGGAGGGGACGTGCCTATTTATTGCTCTTAAAAATGTGGATTAGCACACTGATGCCGTGGCTGCATGAAATTGCATTCCCCATGTACTCTCGTCATATACGAATGTATCCGCATCTAATAATCTCCAAATACTGTTTTGTGCGAGATTACACTTTGACACTCTTCCACGCATGTACCCCCCATGCACGTTCCAGGCCACGTTGGTGCCTTAGGCGTCATTCCCACACCTAAGGCTCCAAGCTCTGCGCACCCGACCCTCCAACACCCAGTCTCCATGGTCCTCGTACTGTCCCGAGTGATGGCGAGGCCCGAACTCACCGTAGACTTCATGCTGCTGGGGGTTGTCTTGCGATGAGAGCAAGCTGCGTTGTGCCTGACGGTCGAGCCGCTAGGTCCTTATATACGGTCCCACAAACGTGGTTCGCCAGGACAGGCGCGCGAGGGAGGAGGGGCACAGGACATCGTGCGCCATACCCTTTGAAAGGGAGCGCCAGTAGCAAAAACACAAAGCGGCAGCATCATCAGAGGAGACGGAACAGGACGACCTCGGTGAGTCCAGAGCCTTCTCTCAGGACCTGTCTTCAGAGAGGAGCTGCCGCGCACGGTGTCTGTGTTTTGCTTGGCCGCCAATCGCACCGTTCTGATTTAGACTGCGGAGGAAGGAAGCGCGGTCCGGCGAATTAGTAAAAAGAGCCGCGAAAGAGAAAGTCGTCTCGGAAGCTGCGGAAAATAACTCGCGGTTTATGCCGCCGCCCTCCTCTTCATCCTCCTCTCTATGGGAGTTCGTGCCTCTGTGTGTGTGTGCATTCTGCTTTTGCTAGTTGTATCAGCAGGCACGGGGGGGGGGGCACGTACGCTATACCTGCTGCAGAGCGGGGCCGCTCCTTCGCCGGAGAGAAGGGCTTATCCTCGCCGCCACTTGGTTGGCCGCCTGGAGTGACGGTTTCCTGGCGTTCCTCGATTCGTCTTCTGCGTCCGCAGCTTCAAGGAAAGGAAGTTGCGCGTCGCCGTCGGAGCCCCTATTATTTCTTTGCGATATATACCATTACTGTGCAGGCGAACGTGCGTTTTCACTGCCATGCTACCAAGTGAAACCACGCTCGGTTAATGCGTTTACCGCAATGTTGGTCACAGATCTCATTAAGGCGACACAAAGATTACGCCCCTGCAGAACTAACAACGCGTTCCGGTTTAGCTCTACGGATGCAACGCGGTAAGCCGACCGTGTGTGGGACGGGCCTGTCTTTTATGCTCGGCGGTGTTTGCAGCATTGCGACAAGTTAAATCCGAAGACCTTGACAATCACATATTGGTGGCTGCATTATACATTTCATGCGCCATTCATTCAGCCTGGATGCAAGGACACCTAATTACGAGACGGTGGCTTCTGTACCTCTTTATCGAACGATTGATGAGAGGCTGATGCTTTACCCACCTGAAGCGGCCACTTCGCTACTCTTCGCATCTGTTCATTTTCAAAAGGGTCAATAATGCTGCAAATGAAATGTGGTACCCCGTAGAGATTTATCGATTAGATCAATTCATACGATGGCTAAAGCAATACATCCCTTTTACTCCGTATATGAAAACATTGCGAGCATTAAGTTATGAAAACTGTGGCCAAGGTAGAAATGAAGGCATCATTATGCAGTCATGAAATGCGGCAGTCAGTGGCTACATTCCACCAGATGAGCTGATTAGCTCTGCTCAATGAAGTATCACATGGCGTACGTGGGGAGGTCAGAACCGTACCAACCACGGACAGGAGAGTGGGCGGTGTGTGAAGGTGAAGTTCGGTTAATTAAGTTGACAGCTGGTGTGCATGATAGTGACGATGACTAAAGAAGAGTGTAAACGATTAGTTTTTCGAAGGAAGAAAACGAAGGGCTGCGATAATGATGAATATTCCTGCCACAAGGTGTGTGGTGACGTTAATTGGTGAAAGGCACGCAATGTATGAGAAAAAGAAACAATATTATGTCCGAAAAAAAATGTTTATTTTTTATTTAAATTACATCCGCGCATATTAAGGTATAGCCTGAAGTTCAAGTTAGCTGTAAATTTGAGAACTTCTGAACATGCGGTTGCTGGACAATTAGTTTGTCGGTGAACAAACATAATTCAGCAAATAGTGTCATGGGATGAGTCCGCTTCGACTGTTGTGCTGTGCATTCTAAGGCGCCACACTGCCAAGCTTGAGAATAAGCATTGGATTTCTGGCTGATGCAGTATGATTTCCACTAGGATGAAATGCACAAAAAAGCCAGTCTACTCAGATTTGGGTGCATGATGAAGAACTCCACTTGGTCAGTACTAATGAGTATTCCCCACTTAGCCGCTCCTCATAACCGCATCGCAAGTTTTGGCCTATTGAATAGGCATTTCCACTTTCTTTCTTTGAAGACGATAGTCTTTCTTGGGGTACTTCGACGCAAAATTTCTGGTCTGTCTGCCTGTACATTTGTCTGATTGTCCGCCGTAACGATACCACAAATGGCGTCAAACGATTCCCCAAACGGCCAACCTCATTAGCAGCGCCAACCAATATTGCTAAAGTTTCAGCGTTCATACTTTTGCGATTGTCAATTAAAAACCAATTGTTGCGCATATTTGAGGCACCACAAGAACACTTCGATATTTTGTATGCGTGTCTTTATACTAGAAAAGGCGCACATAAGTAATTCTAAGGACCGTAGCGTTTATCACTCTGCGCTGACAGTGCAAGGCGATGCTCAAAAAGACAAGTGTTTCCAACGCTTTGCTAAGACGACACGGTGGAGGCACCTGCCCGTCGCTTTGTGTTCTACACGTTGTCGCCTCCGAGAATGGCACGCATCTTTCTCCATGGGCGCGCACGCCTTCCTTCGTTTTTGAAGATAACGGCCAGATAGCACTCGTGTCTAACATGCCTCGATGCACTCGTTCGCCTTCGCTGCACGGATCGACACTTTCTAACGCAGCGCTTCCAGAATTCAATTCACCAATTTTCTAACGCAGAACATCAAATAAACGTTTTATTCACTATCTCCACACGCAAAAGTATCGTTTTTTTCACGACATTTGCAGTAAAACATGCAGATACGGGGCCAATCTTTTTTTTTTTTGCTCTTCGCTTTCTTTCCCGTTCTCTTAGTGCAGGGTAGCAAAGTGGATGCCCTATTTGTGGTCGACCTTTCTGCCTTTCTTTCATTTTATTCTTTCTCTCTCTCTTGGACATAAAACCCAAGAAATTCATTAACTGTTGCGTTTTCTTTGGGCTATTGTGCTCGAAGGCAGCCGCCAGACGAAACACTTTGCCTCTTGACTTATGGAGGTAGCTACCAGTAAGGGTATTAGAGAGGTTTTGATACTAATTTATTCTGGAAGGTTGTCTTTATAGGTAGAAAACCCCTTTTATTCGGGCGGGCAATACCGCCTTGTCACTTCTTCATTCTTGAATGATGAGCGCGCACGCCAGAATTTCCACTAGTATTCGAAATAATTCAAATTATGTCGTACCATTATCACTGGTACAATGAGGGTGTCCAAGTAAGGTAAGAAAATATTATTGGCTTCTTTTGCTCTCCTGAGTGGCGCTGTGCTTAAGCATATTAAGCACCATGCCACACGTGAATGAAGAACACTGATTGTCTTGTAGTAATGTTAGGAAACAAGCAAGCACTCTAAACTATCCGACTGTGGCTTAGTATATTGCATTAGGGAAGCTTTTTTAGAGTGTGTCGTTGCCTGACACAAGTAACGTCTGTTTTTTAGCACCACCTAGCGTGACGCCCTGAAGGGCAGTACACTATTAATAAGCCTGTCACACGGGCAAACGCGAGCTTCTTGTTAACTAGTTTGTTTTTATATCAAGAATGGTGCGCTTGGTGTCACGCAATTGCCAATTAGCTGAAGGTGCTTCATAGATCTTTTATTCAAGAAATATCCCCAATCTCTCCGAGCAACTCATGGTAACACTCTTGTTTTCGTACGTATGCAGGAGCAGCCTAAAAATAAAGTTTTGTGTGTTTAAGATTGCTCTTGTACGTACTGAAAATTATATTGCAGTAAATGGGAATTCAAGCGTAAGTGAGCATCATTCTCGCGCTATGGTGGGCTATACTCGTGAACTGGGCTATGAGAGCCCTAGCATGCACCACTTGACACCGTGCTTTTTCAACCCCTGATGCATTCTCTTCTGAAACAATGTTTACGTTTTTGACACCAAATTTCTTCAATAATATTTTTCTTATGTAAGGAAAAAACTTAAAACTCACACAAGAATATTTGAAGTGAAATTTTCGTGCTTGTTGAAAAAGCAAATAGCATCAAATGAGCCCCTAGTGTCATCTCTCAAATATTTTTTATTGACGTGGGACGTGACCACAGCTACATTAAGGTCGAACTCAAGTCAGGAAGTCACGTGTTCCCTCACTGTGAAGAATTTCACGTATGTTCGAGGGACACATGACACGTTTAGACACGTTATAGCGTGTTTTTTTTTATTCTGAATACAGTGACGTTTTCAATAAAGATGAAGTTGAATAAATTTATTACCATCGGATTGATTCGATTACGCGTGACGCTATGAACAGAAACTGAAGATCCATTTCTTAGCCGGTCAAAGAACAACAAAGACTGCAGCTTTGTTACCTGACCAGTAGACATATCGAGCTAGGCATAAACTATGTCACGTCGCATCGACTCTAGAAAATATGCCAACCAGCCCGCTTGTACCGGCAAAGAGCAGGTTGTGCCACAAAGGGTGTCTGCGACCAATGGCCTCGGATGGGCAAACGCTGAAGCTTGCGTGATGTGCTAAGTATTTGGCGCATGTGCTATTGTTCCATAGTAACATAGTCGTGCATCTACACAATCTTTCATTCCGCCAGGCAGGATATAGAGGACAACTGAAAATGAGGGGAGAATTTTCGGGCTCTTTTTCTTTGTTTATGTGGAGGGATGGATACAAATTTACTTCTTAACCACGTTTTTGGGTGAGAAAAAGGCAACCATAGTTTATTGCTTTATTATTTTGCAGTGCGACAGCTCTTATCAAGCAGATAGCTCAATGTTCCGTAATCAAGTTCAAGTTTTTGAGAAGAAAATGAAGTGAAAATTCACTGCTCAAGAAGAAAAAAAAAACACTTGTTCATTGAGGTTTTTGTGGCAAATAAATATTTCAGGGGCTTCAAAATTAATTTGAAGGCTTAATTACGGTGCATTTCATAACCACCACAGTTAAGAAAAACAACTGCATGAATAAAAATTTAAATTACCATCCAACGTGGTGTCACTGTAGAGATCATTGTAACCCAGTTCATGACCACATAAACGCTACGTAGCGCCTTGGGAAAGTGCGCGTATTTTAATGCGAACATCAAAGAAAAGTTGCTACTACGATGTACTAGTGTGGCCCACACGCGTGCCACATTTTCA